TCCGTTGGACTCTCTCCAATTTTTCCACCTTAGTCCAGTACAGCCTATTTGTCTTCACTTTTAAGGCCCTTTATGGCCTTTCCCTGCCTCATCTATCATCTCTTATATGCTATGGACATAGACTCCACCAGTGACACCACTCTTGATTGCCCATTTGTGAAACTTTCCAGCATGCACCATCGTGCTTTCTCCCATGCCGCCCCACATGCATGGAAGTTGCTCCTTGTAAAAAACCCTCAAAGCCGAAACATTATCCTCCTTTAAACTTCTTTGTAAAATCCATCTATGCTGTGATGTCTACAAAACTGAGTGGTGGGTAGAGAGCTGGTGCATTGTGACCACTGCTTATGACACTGATTATAATTAAGGCTAAGATTTTATCACGGTTATTTTAGTAAAAGTCACGGACAGGTCATCGGCAATAAACAAAAATTCACGGCGTCTGTGACCTGTCCGTGACTTTACTAAAAATAACCAGGGGGGTGGGGGAGTAAGACTAGGTATGGGGGAGGAACTGACAGGCCGAGCCCCCTGGCTCCAGCAGCTGGAGCAGGGGGTGCAGCTCTGGGATGCCACAAGGGGACGCACGGCCCCGGCTGCAGCCCCCCGGGAAAGCCGCCGGGCTGCAGCGCACGGCCCCAGCTGCAGCCCCCCCGGGGAAGCCGCCGGGCTGCGGCACACCAAGCCCAGGACGCTACGGGGTTGGGGTGCACGGCCCCAGCTGCAGCCCCCTGCAGAAGCGCCGGGTTGGGGCGCACGGCCCCAGCTGCAGCCCCAGGTGGAAGCTGCAGGGCTGGGGCGCACTGCCACTGCCAAGCCCAGGATGCCACAGGGCTGGGGCACACGGCCCCGGCTGCGGCCCCTGGCGGAAACTGCAGGGCTGGGACTACAGGGTACTGGTTCCAGTCAGCCCCAGTTGCAGGGCAGGGGGGGGTGCACAGTCCCACCTTCGCCTCCTGAAGCCATAGAAATCACAGAGGTCCAGTAAAGTCACAGAATCTGTGACTGCCGTGACCAAATCGTAGCCTTAATTATGATTCTCTCACTTTGAGCCTGTGCTTCTCTCATTTGTTTGACGTATCTACCGGGTGACCCTCGTTTTAAATTTTGTAAACTCTTTTGGGCAGAGACCGTCTTTGTTATATTTTTGTACAGAGCCTACCACAATGGAGTCCATTTCGTAGGTGCTATTGCAATATAAGTTATATGAATCCGTTTGTTTATGATTGTTGGTATCATTTTTACTTTAATTTGTTTCTTCTCCAAGGAAATTGGGATAGCATATTTTATGAGCAAAGATGAAAGAGGGAGCTCTGTACTGTATTGTTCAGCTATTGATTTCATATTAAGAAGGGAACAGTTTTGCAGAACTGGATGGGAGGACATTTGTGATATAAGTATCTGGTTTGAAAAACCTACCTGTAACTCCCTGGAAACACAGGGTCACATCCTGGCAGAATCAGTCTAGTCCTTCATCATTCTAAGTTAGGCACAGCAAGTGGTTTACTTTGGATCTGACTCTTAGATGCACTCTTACGCTGAGGCCTTGTTTGCTTATCCAAGTGGCTATTAAAGATTCCAGGAAACTTCTCCTACCAATAGTGGTCTGACCTGGTGTCCTTAGCAAAGTTTACTGTGCCCTCTTTTACAGATCCACAGGATCTGTTCAATGCCCCAACTTTTAAACTGTCCCTTGGAGGAACTCCATCAGTGTGTCAGACCCCCAAGGTGTCCCACTCTTCCTTAAGGGTAGGCCATGCAGCCTGGATACCCAGCACATGTTTATTTGGAGAATGGGTTTATTTCATGGGTCTTGCTCTCTAAATGAGTCTGGTACCAAACACATCACCAAGAAATGTTATCTGTTTTTCTGCAGAGGTACTGGCGCAGTTATCAGAGTAGAAAGCAAGCTGAAGACTCCCTAGTTGATCCTCTCCTTTTCAGCAATGCAGCACTCGTTCTTCAGGCCCACTGGCGAGGTTTTGTGGAGAGGCGAAGATTCCTGCAGATGCGGGTTGCAGCCTTCATCATCCAGAACTATTGGCGGGAATGCTCTAGGCGTAGGCATGCCGCAGCTATGTGCATACAGGGAGGCTGGCGAGGATACTGCGCAAAGAGACTCTACAGGGCCAAGAGAAATAAAGTCATCCTATTGCAAGCAGCATGCAGAGGATACATAGCACGGCAAAGGTAATGTGGTCAACCTCAGTGGACACAAAAGTGAAATGTTGAATAAAGATGACTGGGTAGCAGGAAGGCTGTGTGATTCGGAGCAATGATTCCCAGCAATTAGCATGAATACTAGCATTTTTCAGGCTTTTGTTACTAGAACATCATGTTCCCCTTCCCTGGTATGCTTGGGCCCCTGTGCTGCCACTATGTGCCTCCCACTCAGTTGTCCACTCTCTCTGTAACCCACAGTGGAGCTTAGTCTGATCCAAACACCAGTCAACTGATCAGCAGAGCATTCAGTTGAAAGCACACAGCTGAGGCATTACTCTGTGGAAGTGGTATAACTGTCTGAAAGGGTTGGGGCCCACTGGTGTACTGTAAACGAGCTGAGAGCCAGAATAATGACTCTAAATACATTGTGCAAGTCACTAGTACCTGATTGTACCTTAATCAGCCCAGCTAGAAAGCTGGTAAAGAACATGACCAAAACACCAGATGCTGCATTTGTACTGTGCTTCCCTGGATATATTAATTTACAAAAGAAAGCAAAAACAAAATACTGATAAAGTTTAGAGTGACCATAGTCAGGAAAGCAGCAGTTCTCACTAATAGACACCAGTGTCATTCACAACTAGGGAAAGAATGAAGCAGGTGAAAATTGAAAATTCATGTTTATGTAGAATACCCATGTGCAGTCTCACACATGATTTTTAAATGTGTGTTTAGCTATGGTATTAAAACCAAACACAGGCACTTTCTCTTAAACGTCTCTTCAGAATCAATACAATGCATCCAAGCAATGAAAGAGGAAACACTCTAAAAATCTGCTGTTTTCTCATCCTTGCAGATTTACAGCTTTAAAAGAGCAGAGATTAAAAGAGAGACAGCTGGAGAATGGAGTGTCAATCAGAGAAGAGGATGGACTGGAGGCAGCTGATACTATGAAAATTAGGGGCTCAGACCCATCTAAGTGGGAGGATGGCTCGTTTGAACAGCGGGTGAGAGCTGTAGAGGAACATAAATCAGTAATAGAGAATAGTCGGGTGAATCATGCTGATCCAGTAGACAGTTCTGGAGACTTACTGTACAAAAGACACGAGAGAGCCAGCAGCCAAAGTGGCATGGACATTGAAGAGGAAGTAGTTGTGAGAGAGAGGCCCAAATCACTGGAGGATCTCAACCAGAAAAAAGTGGTCCGCGCAAAAAGAGAAAGCCGGAGAATGCGTGAATTGGAACAAGCAATATTTAGCTTGGAATTGCTTAAGGTCCGGTCCACTGGAGGGGTGTCTCCCTCAGAGGAGCGTCGGTGGTCCACAGAGCTTGTGTCAGAGGTCCTTCATTCTCCACAGGGAACCCCAGAGAGTGAAAGCTCTCAGGGGAGCTTAGAAGTGTTAAGCTGTGAGGATACTCAGAAGAATAAACTTGATTCCCCAGTTTTAGAAGAGCAAGATATGCAGTCTGTCTCCACTGAGACCCAGGACTCTTTACCTCATAGTCCTAAGCCTGGTTTACAGGACACAACCTTCTTCTCAGCAGATGTGAACAGCAACTTATCTAACAGAAAAAGGACACCATCAAGTTCTGAGTTACCAGAGAGTCCTGCTACTAAGGAGCGGGTGGTCTGTGATACCCAGAATGTTATCTACAAGATGCATCCAAGAGAGACCTTCATTTCTAGCAACCTGCCTACTTTCTACATTCCATCACAGGACACCCAGAAAGCAAATCAGTCACTGGTGGAGAATAACATGAAGAACAAACTAATGGAAAAGGAAGAAAAACCAGGTACGTTTCCTGAGGTTCAGAAAGATACGGAGCCAGGCAGGCATGTCCAAGGCAAAGCCTTGGACAAAGAGAGAGGAGAAAACCCTCCTGTCAAGCAAGAGGAAAGCCTACCTGCTCTTGCATCAGATACACATTCTTCAGACTCTGTTATCAGGAGACTTGAGAAGCTGAATGTGGAGAAGGAGGAGCGACAAAAGCAGCTGCAGCAGCAAAATGAGAGGGAAATGATGGAGCAGATCCGCCAGCAGAAGGAAATTCTGGACAAACAGCGCAAAGTTTTTGAGCAATTCGAGAGACAAGGGAGGGGAGAGGCCTTGCAAAGGACTGAGCACAGCAGAATCAAGGATCCCTCACAAGGACTGTCTCTCAGACCCCCAAAGAAAACAGACAACAGGCCTCAATCTCTCCTCATCCTAAATCCCCAGAGCAAAGGGGAAAATTTCCAGACTGTGAATACAACACCAACCTCATCAGTGGATATTAAAGGTCTCACTGTTGCAAAGAAAGGGAGCCCCCCAGCCCACATAGCACAAAAGGACAGGCCTGTCAGCATGTTCCTGGAGCGAAAAGAAGGTCAACCTGGAATGACACAGGAATCAACCAGAACAGATCGATGGAATTCAAAACTGGCTGTAGAATCTGGGGACTTCTCTAGCAGCCATGCTGCAAGGACAGAGCGCCTCAGGCAACCCCGAATTCCCAACCAGAGCACTGATGCCTCTTCTAGTGAGCCGCGGGCTAGTGCTATTTTCTTCACACCAAAAGACAGTCATTTCCTGTGAGTGGAGCAGTTGTTTGTTTGCTTGCTTTATACCATGAGAGGTGACTGTTGCATGACCTTTCCTGAAAATAGGATTGATTTCTACAGGTTTGCAATGAAACAAAGAGCCACATGATCAGTTTTGGGCACCTCATTACCAAAAAGATGCTGCTAAAATGGGGAGGATTCAGAGAAGAATATCAGTAATTATTAGAAAGCAACAGAGGGTCCTGTGGCACCTTTGAGACTAACAGAAGTATTGGGAGCATAAGCTTTTGTGGGTAAGAACCTCACTTCTTCAGATGCCAAGTGAGGTTCTTACCCACAAAAAGCTTATGCTCCCAATACTTCTGTTAGTCTCAAAGGTGCCACAGGACCCTCTGTTGCTTTTTACAGATTCAGACTAACACGGCTACCCCTCTAGTAATTATTAGGAAGCTGGAGGGATTGACTTAAAAGGAAAATTAAAAGAACTCTCATGCAGTGCATACCATAAAGTCTCTGTCAGGTGGCTATGCGTGACTATGGAGAGCCAAGCTAACCATCTACAGCAAACATCTGAAAAGTGTTAATAGCAAGAAAGGAGAGAAATTACAATAGTTAGGGCAGTACAAAGTGGTGTGAGTAGGAAGGATGGGATGAAAGTAAGAAAGGAGTTTAAGAGAAGTATCAGAAAAAACTTAGTTTTATTATTATCTGGTAGAATAGATTCCCAAGGGAAGTGGTAGAATCTCCAACACTTCACACATTTACAATTTCAGTGGACAAAATAGTAGTGAATGGTCAACTAGGGAACAATCTTGCACTGTCAGGGAAAAGGGAATAAATGCAGATCTTCTATGCAGTGTGGTTGTAGCCATAGTGGTCCCAGGATATTAGAGAGAGAAGGTGGGTGAGGTAATATCTTTTACTGGACCAACTTCAGTTGGTGAGAGAGACAAGCTTTCCAGCTACACAGAGCTCTTCTTCTTAAGCAATCTGTTCCACCTGGCATTTAGCTATGATGCTGGGCGAACCTTCTCCTGACCTGACGAAAAGCTCTGTATGGCTCGAAAGCTGCTCTCTCTCACCAGCAGAAATTGGTCCAGTAAAAAAAAAATTTCCTCACCCATCTTGTGTCTCTCTAGAGCAGATCTTCTCCTTATGGAGACTGGAGGTGCACAAGGTTTTGAAAAAGAGCTGCTGTGAATAAAGTATACATTTAACAGTCTTGACAGTATTAAAAACAATTGTATAGAATATGGGAAGTTCTTTGCAGGTTAAATGGTGGGTTCACATTCCAAGCACAGGTCATGGCAGCATTTTGATCCTGTGCTCATGTTTCCTCTCCTGCAAATCTGTGGGTCAGGCTGATCTGGGATATGTCTACACAGCCGACGTTAAAAGTGGCAGCACTTTAACGTGGCTGTGTAGTCGCGGCTCCAGCAGTGGGAGAGAGCTCTCCCAGCGCTGTAATAAAACTACCTCTATGAGGGAAATAGCTCCCAGCGCTGTAGCACTGTCTACACTGCCACTTTACAGCACTGAAACTTGCATCACTCGGGTGCGGGGGTTTCATACCCCTGAGCAAAGAAAGTTTCAGTGCTGTAAGTGGCAGAGTAGACAAGGCCTGAGTGCCTTTAGGGAGCTGTGTCTGCAGGGTAACGGCACCCTTCATCCCTCCCAAAGCAGCCTCCCAAATGTCTTTTATGATGTTTGCTGCTATTAATTGGTTCATGGTACCACCTACTGTGTGTGAGGAACTTTTTCTATTTGCCTTAAGGGAAGGAGGGCAGGGGAAAGGGTTGAATCAGTTTCCTTTGTCCAAGTTCTTTCCTGGCCTGCGCCTCCTCCCCCGCCCATACAAAACAGGAAGTGTCACTATAGGCAGCATGGCAGAATTGGTTTTTTAAGCGGTCTGGCAGATGATATCAGGGACCTTCAATTGTACATTGTGGCGCATGTGAAAGAAGGCACGGAGGTGATTGAGACACAGGCAGACAAAGGTGGGACTTAGTTGCAATGTCTAAACTAGGGCTGTCGATTAATCACAGTTAACTCATGCGATTAATTCAAAAAATTAATTGTGATTAAAAAAATTTGTTGCAATTAATCACACTGTTAAACTATAGAATATCAATTGAAATTTATTAAATATTTTTGAATGGTTTTCTACATTTTCAAATATATCGATTTAAATTACAACACAGAATAGCAAGTGTACAGTACTCATTTTATATTATTTTTGGTTACAAATATTTGCACTGTAAAAATGATAAAAGAAATAGTATTTTTCAGTTCACCTCATGCAAGTACTGTGGTGCTATCTCTTTATCGTGAAAGTGCAACTTACAAATGTGGATTTTTTTTATCACATAACTGCACTCAAAAACAAAACAATGTAACACTTTAGAGCCTACAAGTCCAATCAGTCCTACTTCTTGTTCAGCCAATCGCTCAGACAAACAAGTTTGTTTACATTTATGGGAGATAATGCTGTCCACTTCTTAATTACAATGTCACCTGTAAGTGAGAACAGGCATTCACCTGGCACTGTTGTAGCTGGCGATGTATTTATGTGCTAGATGTGCTAAAGATTCATATGCCTCTTCATGCTTTGGCCATCATTCCAGAGGGCATGCTGATGATGCTCATTAAAAAAATAATGTGTTAATTACATTTGTGACTGAACTTCTTGGGGGAGAATTGTATGTCCCCTTCTCTGTTTTACCCGTATTCTGCGATATATTTCATGTTATAGCAATCTCGGATGATGACCCAGCACATGGTGTTCATTTTAAGAACACTTTCACTGCAAATTTGACAAAATGCAAAGAAGATACCAATGTGAAATTTCTAAAGATAGCTACAGCACTCGACCCAAGGTTTAAGAATCTGAATGCCTTCCAAAATCTGAGAGAGATGAGGTGTGGAGCATGCATTCAGAAGTCTTAAAAGAGCGGAAACTACAGAACCCCAACCACCAAAAAAGAAAATCAACCTTCTGCTAGTGGCATCTGACTCAGATGATGAAAATGAACATGCGTCAGTCCGTGCTGCTTTGGATCGTTATTGAGCAGAATCCATCATCAGCATGGATGCATGTCCTCTGGAATGGTGGGTGAAGCATCAAGGGACATATGAATCTTTAGCGCATCTGGCATGTAAATATCTTGCGATGCCGGCTACAACAGTGCCATGTGAATGCCTGTTCTCACTTACAGGTGACATTGTAATTAAGAAGTGGACAGCATTATCTCCCGTAAATGTAAACAAACTTGTTTGTCTGAGCGATTGGCTGAACAAGAAGTAGGACTGATTGGACTTGTAGGCTCCATTTTACATTGTTTTATTTTTGAATGCAGTTATTCCTTTGTACATAATTCTACATATCTAAGTTCAACTTTCATGATAAAAAGATTGCACTACCATACTTGTATTAGATGAATTGGAAAATAGTATTTCTTTTGGTTTTTTACAGTACAAATATTTGTTATAAAAATAAATGTAATGTGAGCACTGTGCACTTTGTATTCTGTTTTGTAATTGAAATCAATATATTTGAAAATGTAGAAAATATCCAAAAATATTTAAATAAATGGTATTCTATTTTTAAGAGGGCGATTAATTTTTTTAATCGCTTGACAACCCTAGTCTAAACTATTATTTTTTATTATTTATTTCATTTAAATCAGTGCAACAATTAACTTGATGCTGTATAAGATACAAAATGAAGACTATTCTTGCCCTAAAGATCTTGCAGTTTAGTAGACAAAACTGTGGGAGGCCAGAAGAAGGAATAACAGAGGAAATAAAATTTTTCCTCCTAGACAGTAGCATGGCATTGAAAATTTTTAATATGATTTTCTGTCTCTTGTTACTTAACTTTTTTTCCATTCTGCAAATTTAATTCCCAACACAAAGCACTAAAGATAACCTATATGAGAGCTACTGGCAAGTGTGCAGTAAGGATGATGGTTCATAGTTTGACGAAGGACAGGAGTTCTGTTCATTCGTGCTTTTTATCCTCACTACAGTGTTTAATGGTATTAAGTGTATGCTGAATAACTAAAGATGGCATCCCTTAAAGCACATGAAATCAAATTGCAATTTATTCTTGATCCGTTGAGTTGTACATACTCAAATGTTTCTGGAATCTGGACTGACGTTATGGGTGAACCTGGGCGAGGAATTTAAATGTCTTTTTGTTGTTGTTGTTGTTGAGTTTCAACAAGGAATCTTCAAATCATCAGATCCTTTCGAAAGATGAACCACCTAGAAAGCCACTAAAGTTCCCTGGGCCAGGCAGAGGGGGGGTAAGTTACAGCTTTCTTGTTTTATCTTTCAATTAAACAAAACTTATTCTGCCAGTTTCTTCTCAAGTGTTTGAAGAGAAAACAGAAGGGTGGGTGCTATTCAATTACGAGTCTGTGAGAAGGAAGGGGGGATACTAATGGTATGGAAACATTAAAACCTTCTCTTCAGGATACCCTAGTTAACACAAGAACATACTAGTGCAGAATTGCAAGATGTTTTCTTCCATGAATGCCCCAGTGGTAAACACTGTAGAATGCAGTCATGTCTTGTTTTGTTTAACATATGTTTTGGTAACATCCATGACTGTCCATTTTCCCAGTGCTGTCTTTCATTTTTGTTTTCCCCAATCCCCTGCACTACCTGTGATACTTGTGTGTTATGTGTGGATTAGCATATTGTTCATGGAGTTCTTAAGGCTGTACTTGACCTACCCTGTGATATCGAACATCAGCAGAATCGCCTTTTCTTTTAAAACATTTTTATGTTATCTGTTTTATCATTTGGTCAAGCAGGTTGCCAGACCGGCCCATAAAAAGAAAGCCCGCATGGCGCGGACGCGCTCCGATTTCTTGACTAGAGGTACTTTTGCTGATGGGGAGGGGGATACGGAGGAAGATGATTACGATGACAATTTTGAGTTCCTTCTCTCCCCTGACCAACCTCCTCACCTTGAGCCAGGGCCTACAGCCAGGCTTGGGCAGGCCTGTCACAGTGACTCTGAAATGGTAATTTTCCGACATGCGGGAAAACAAAGGGAGCAAGCAGCTGTGCGGGAGCATTTCTTTGCTAACCTTTAGCTGTACTGACACCCTACACTGCTTCTTCTCCCACTGATGATGATGCTGTAGATGGGTAAACTCAGAGAACACAGCAGAAGCAACCTCAACAAATGAGTGGGGGGAAGGCGGCACTTGTGTTTATATCAAACCTTGGCATTGCCTTCAGGATGGATTTGACAAATAAGACACCTAATGAAAGTAGTGCTTCTCCAGAGAGCTATAGTATATACCTAGTACAAATGCTAAGGATCGCCCTGCCAGCAATCATGAAAAAGACTAGGGAATAGGGAGGGCTTGCAGGACTTATGTAGTTTCTCTGTAGACTTACAAAGACTGTTTAATACATTCTACTAGTTTATAACAATAGCCACAGCATGCCTAATCTCCCTCTCCTTTGACAAGATTCATTGTACAGGTGATCGGAAAAGATCTAACTAAACAAATTGTCCCACATACATACAATCAGTTCTTTGATTAAACAACAAAAACTCTATCTGTATCTTACATTTTTCCTATTTTAGTTTTGATTGATTCCCTTTTAAAATAATGCTTCACTTATTATTTGAGGTCTGTAACTTCAAAGAAATTAGTTTCTGGCATCAATTTTTTTCCAAGATAAAAGAAAATGGGAGTGAGACCACATGTGAAAATGCAGATATCCGCACAGGAAATGTCTGCACTGTGTAGGTAAGCAGTGCCATAAGCTAAGTGCATGCTGTGTTCCTGGAGGTTTACCCTGTTACAAAGCATTAGTTCTTTTAGCAGTAGAAATCTTTCACACTGGAAAACTCTGCTGAGATGCAAACAGGTGCTGGGCTCACTGTTAGGATGGAGGACGCTATGCTTGGAAGGGTTTTAGTTCATGCCTCTGATTGGAAATGGTCCTATGATTCTGCTCACTGGGTTTAACAACAGTCACTGCATGCAAGTAGTCCTAGGCCTGTCTCATCAGTGCACACTATGTATCATCTCTCCTTCTGTATCACTTACCCTCTGTAATACTCCATCACTATCTCTAACTGGTGGTTGGGCACGCAAAGTGGTATCATCTGGGAGCAGTCACTTGCACGACCAGGCTCTGCTTTCTAGCATATGCTGAATAGATACATTGTTGCATAAAAATACTGTTTATCTGTATGTCTTGTAAATATATGCAGAATTTCCATCTGTCTTCTATATTGCAGGACTAGGTTTGAGACCAGCTCTTTGGAAGTGACAGCTTTTGGCTTCTGTATTTCAGAACCGCCTTGCCTTTGTCTCAGTGCTATTTTAGAACAGCAAAATTTATGGACTGTTCAAGTGATGCAGTTTCCAGAAGCTTATTAGCATTTAGATGTTAATAGCTTAGCCCTTGCAGTGCGTGAGAGGCTGTTACATGTGATAAAGCAACTTAATAATACAGCAGTACAGATGTGAGTTGGTTTCAGTACAAACTGGAGAGTACTTGAATGTGGGTGTGTATTTGTTGTTTGCCTTAAGATTTCAATACAATAGGAAGGACAGCCAGGCAATCTTCCTTTGGATGGTGGTGATTATTTTAATGAGAAAAACAAAATAGTTTATCACACATGCACAACAGCTGCTAATTATCAAAAGTCAGTTTTTAGTTAATGTTTTTGGTGTGCTGTTCATAAACCAATGGTTGCTGAATACATGAAAGAAATAGAGTGTGACACTGAAAACTAAAGCACTTTTTGATTCAGCTTCTGCTATTACTAGCCTGCCTGTTTGAAGTCCTAGTACAGTAAAACCTCCTGATGTCCTGTGTGCAAAATCGATTTATTTGTGTACCCTGCTGGTAGGTAAAGGTGCATTAGATGGTGTTGCTCGCTGGCACTGTGGTATGCACATATCTGCAAAGAGAGAGTCTTCAACCAGAGGTGAAGTTGAAGGTGCAAATGTTGAATCTGATTGCTTAAGACAAAGTAGACTTTGGTGACAATAGTGTGATTGACAATGAGACCATCTTTTCAAAGGCTGCTTGGATTTTCTAGTCAGCAAAATTCTAGTTATCAAACAGTATGACAAGTACAAATGTCATGTACAGCTTATCTTAAAGGATTAATAGAGCTTGTTTTTACTTTTAAACAGCAAGCTTGCAATCTCTTGTATCGTGTATGTAAGCAAGCTTGGCTAGAGAATCAGTTAAAGCCTCATTTGAGATGATGTATGAAGCATTTATCATTTTGCAATGATTTGTTTAGCTAATTTGTGAGGGGAGAGGGTGAAAATCTTTAAATGCAATTTATGGAAGTGAAACCCTTTTTCCCCCAAGGCGTTTGAGGAGGCATTGAAAATGAGACAATAATGAGGATACTCTCACTACACCTTTCTTAATAAAACAGTGACGTGAGTTTTGAATTAAAAAAATAAAAGTTCTGAGTAACTCCAAAATTTGTCACCCATTGTCCAACTCATAAAACAGACAATCCATGGACTTGATGGTTATTACTTCAACAAAGATCCATGAAATAAGAACCCTTGTCATAAGCTATCACTAATCAGTGGGAAATGCATCTTATGAAAATTCTTAAATCCAGCATGATGGAACAAAGCATCATCTCCATCTGTCACAGTCACATATATTTAAATGTGCAGCATGCACACACTAAATCTAAACTCAGCCCATATTATTCCAGAGGAAATTAATTCCCTCCTGTACCCTGCCAGACCCATTAAAGTCCACCCCCTGCAGCCTGCACAAATAGATGCACCTTGCAGTGTGCTCTAACGGTCAACAAACCAGCCCTATTCTAAATCCGTGGATAAAGCTTGTTCCAGACCTGAGCCTCCTGACAGAGAACATTTCGCTGCCAGCTCCCTCTCTTTTTAAGGGCAGTCCAGCTTGAATGTCTCTGTCAATTGAAACTATGGCAGCATGGCAGGGGAAGAGACACTCTATCAGCTCAGACAGTTCCAAGCTATTCAGGGCATTATGAGTTAAAACCAACACCTTGCATTCAAAAATATAGTCAGTTGTTAGAATAGTTTTTTAAATTTTTAGTAGAAAACAATTCCCAAAGCTATGGAAGAGCTGAAGAGGAGGATAATAGAATAGTGATTGCAATCTCAATGGTGTCAAGAAAAAAGAATTTAAATAAACCATATCTAATAGTTTAATGATGATCTCATATACCCCTTATATCTGTTTCACTATGCAATGTGCATCAGCAGACCTTTCCTCTTTACACTGTATATCCACACGCAAGAAAGATGGCTGTTTTCAATCCCCACATTGTTAATATCCAACAAGCAAGATGCCAATGATCTCCCTGCTGCATTTTGTCATCATACAAAAAGCCCCTTCAGTGGAGCTGATTATTTCCCTATCTATAATACTTGTTGATGTTGCTCACATAAACAACTACACTATGAAAGTGTTTACAAACAAGGTATCTGAATTCTTTTTATATTGCTGGAAGTTTTATGCAGTGTAATCATGATGACGACTAGAATAAGCACTTTGTTCTTGCATATCCCAACTATTTATTACCAAGAAAATTACATCAGCTTTGGTCATCACATCCGCACCACGTTCTTTCTATGAAAAATCTGATTTCATGTCATGCTCTTGATGTAAAAAGCATACACAGATCCTTTCATCAGACTTGTCTAAAAAAAACACACTACAAGCACCATTGTATGTAAAGCCTTTGTGGGTATGTCTGCACAGCAAAGAAAAGCCCATGGCTGGTCCATGCCAGCCGACTCGGGCTTGGGCTGTGGGGCTGTTTCACTGCTGTGTAGAATTCCGAGCTTGGGCTGGAGTCCAGGCTCTAAGACCCTGCGAGGTGGAAGGGTCCCAGAATTCAGGCTCCAGCCCAAGCTTGGGCTGCAGCCCCAGCCTGGAAGTCTACACAGCAATGAAACAGCCCCATGAGCCTGAGTCGGCTGGCATGGGCTAGCCGCGGGTTTTTCTTTGCTGTGCAGACATACCCTGTGTGCACACAAGCTTTTGGTTGCTTTGATTTGCAAGATCAGATGTGAGGATGGCTATACACTAGCTCTGAGCTGGAAGAACATTGTGGTATTGGCCTACGGACCAGCACAACAAACCTTCCACCCTACTTTTGGAATTCCCACAGCCATTGCTGCCAGAACCAACATGGAGCTTGTTTTAAGCTGAAGCAGAGCATATCTAGGCCAAGAGGACAGCAAACATGAACATATTTCTTTCCCCTTTACTGCTTACAGTAGAAACCAAGCTTAATGTGTCCAATCCTGCGCACTCAGACCACATGAACCATGGCTTTCATTTGCAAAGTGCAGTTCCAGAAAGATCCCAAAACACAGAAGTGCACTTTTGAGAAATTCCCCTATAACGTCTTATTTTTACACATATCAGAGCTAAGAAGTTTCTGTGGATAAGGATAAGTGATCACAAAATAGGGTTGAATCCACTTAGTCAAACTGCAATCATTGAGACAAATATTTTAACAGGCTTATTTTTAAACGGAGAGGTTTGTACAAACTGTACCTACTTTCATGAGCATCTGAGGTATCAGTTACTGAACTAGGTATTTCATTGTATCCATATATCTACGTGAACAGCTACTGTCATTTCAATATGATAGATTTTTTTTCTAGTTTCTTGAGGGTGTTTAAAATATATCTTTAATGCAACATAAATAGACTAATCAAAATACTGGAAGGAGATTGGGATCTTATTCTGAGCCTCAGTGACCTTTGCTAGTCTCTAAGGTGCCACAAGTCCTCCTGTTCTTCTTTTTGCTGGAGAAAATCCACAAGCTTCAATTATTATGCAGCTTCTTATTTCAGTGTTGGTAGTGCTCTGCATATGCTGCCATCTGCTGGCTGAAAGGGATAAAACACTTTAAATGTCTGGAAAACAATATACGTAAAAGAAATAAAATAGGCTCTTAGTAACAGTTTTTTCATTACATGGTGAATGTTGTTCTCCTGGAATCCATATTTTATGTAATTTTGGTTAAAACCTTTTTAAAATATAGATTACTCATGGGTACAATGGAAAAAATGGTTATATTGAAAGAAATGCATTAAACATAAGAGAGCATGTTCAACTGATCATAGTGTTTTCATTTTAAAAAAACAGTTGTATAGACCAGAAAAAGATCACACTCCTTGAAATGCATTAGAATGCCTCATAACACTCATCTTGCTGGAAAAGATGACAGTCCTGTAAAGGTTCTGTAAGCATGAACCATCAATGTCTTTTTGATTGTAACATACAATCTGGTTTTACAAAGTCTGACTTTCAGCTCCCGTGGTGTTTGTGCCAAATGTGATGTTTTCAGTAAGATGGTCACAACCAGGAGTCAGGTTCAGAAACCCCAATTTTAGCTGAAAATAGTTGCATAATGACCTGACATTTTGAACGTCAAGAAATGTTTCTCACCCTGTGATCTTTCAGGCTGCTCTGCTGAGAGAAATGGCTGCAGTTTTCAGTAGTCGCATTGATGGAGTCACCAAATCTCATCAGTATTTGCAGAAGCTGGATGATTAAACAGACCCTCTTCAGCTAATCCTCTTGTTTAATATGGCCAAATCTCTTCTCCTTGCTGCTTCAGGAATATCGTGCATGTATAGCTTTGCATGCCAAATGAAAAAGGATCTACTCAAAGTCACAACTTTCACCAGGCTTTTTTCTTTTAGAAGAGAAGAAACAAACAAAAAATACTATCCACTAATCAAACCATTTCCTCCTATAGGCGGGGCAGGGAAAAAAGATGTATTATTTATTTCTAATTTTTAATTATTTGTTCTTGGACACTACAGTGATGGGGCTATGAAAGTACATAGATTAGAATTAAATTACCAACCTCAACTGGCTGCCTCAAGACATGATATTGGACAACTTTTTAGAACCATAACCATTGCTCTTTCAAACTAAATTTGATATAACATTGTGAAAAAAGCCTCTCTATTATAACATGCTAGGGAGGTTAAGAAAATGCCATCTTTGTAATATTGAGAAATAATCAAAATAAGGCAATACTTAAAATCAAATAGACTTAACCCAAAAAAGCATATATTTTCAAAGCTTTGCATACAGTATTGTTCATGGAACTCTTATTGAATTTAATGAGCTGTGCGATTTAAATCCATTCACACTTCAAAATGTACCCACAGCATTATAAGCTTTTGAAAAAACTATGAATCGTGCTGTTAGTGATTGAACATAGCATATGTAATTTCTTTATATTACCTCCTCCTAAATGGCGTGTCTTCATTTTAGCAGGTCAGTGCACTAGCACTTTGGACAAATCAATATTTTTTTTAGTCTTCTACAGAGTTGAATACACACCAAAACTTGAATACTGAGGAGGATGTATTAATATCTTATAGGGTACCCTGATATGTTGGCGCTATTGACAATTTCATTGTTAGCTGGGAGTATCTGTTGGAAATTCTGTTGTAGACATCCCTCTTCTAAAATGAAGAGTTGGATTGATCAGTCAGTTGAGTGTTCCAACTGGCTGAACATTCTTGGTTGCTTTGTAATGTGGACAACATGTGGGTTTGTGTGAAGCAGTTTAAAATATCCATTGCTAAATCTAATTTAAGGGATGCTCCTTTGGGAAGGAGTTGTTTTGTTAATTCTGTGTGAAAATATGTAGTTAAATATGTGCTGAAGCCAGTATATATGTTTTGCTGTACTTGAAATGTTCTGCTCTTCTGGGAGGCCTTAAGGTTTCTTGTTGCCTGTAAGTGGATCATCAATAGGTTGGACCAGGGCTATCCATTTAGGTTTCACCCAATTGTTAATTTTTTGACAACCAAACAGAAATCAGGACATGTTTTAATGATAGTATATAACATTTTCAATTTTTTGTGTGTAGCCGATGAAATCTCAGATTGTTCTAGGAGGTCTGTGTCACCTGCAATGCTAGCCAGTCTCTTGATTTTTAAAGTATTTTTATCCTTGTAATTGTTGCAGACATTGCAGCGTTTCACATCAGGTGAAGGCCAAGCAAAGCTTCATAAAACAATGTCTCAGGGTGAGATTGGGAAGCTGGCAACTGTTCAGAAGAATCTGCCTACCGATGGAAGGTATGAAATATATACCTGATGGGGGAAGAGCTGAAATGATGGGAGAGAATGAGTCCAACCCATGTCATATTTGATTCCCTTCAGACATTAGGGCAACTGGCTCAGTCACTGGGTTTTCATTCTGTCTTTTCAAGAATTCCTTTGAAGGTTAAACCTAAGGATTGAGATTTTTGTTAGATTAAAAAGTTTTATTTCATATTACAAAAGAATGGGATAATACAACCAAGAACCCTTATGTAGCAAGATATATGGGCCTTAATTTTCAAAAATGGGTACCAAATTTTCTGTGCAAAATCATCCAGTTGTCAATGTAACTTGTTCATGCCACTTAAGTGTGTGTTTTTGAAAATCTGGCCCTTAAAACTAACTACAAGAATCAGAACAAATCACAGGCCTGGGTAGAAATAGAACACTGTGTGAGAATCACTGTGTTGTGTCAATCAAGGAGACAGGGAAGAATGCGCAATGAAATTGAATAAACATTACAGTGTAAGGCCCACATCTCGCTAAAGAAGTACAATTTAATCACTGTACAGAATTCTTTCCAAACTCCCTTTAACACTGAATGAAAATACATATTTAATGTAAATTCAGTATCCAATATTAAGTTAAGCAATGTAGACTTATCTAAGGATAAATTATCATTGAGAAACAGTGACAGATAGAATTCTGAAGTGTATTTCAGTGCTAACTGTAGTGTTGAAATCCAAGACATGCAGTTCCAGAGTCAGTTACAGACTGGATTACAGAGTCATTCTGAGTGGGCCGTATGTTAACTTTATCCTTTTCCCCATTGGAGAAAGCCCAAACTAGACACCTGCTAGGATGAATACCTAGTGCTTTTCTTTTTTCCCTAGATTTCCCAACAGTGAAATAGATCCATGTTCCAAAATGCACTTGTACAGGTTTTGTTGGTGTTAGAAGGGAGGAAGGTGCATGGGAATCAGTTAGATTTGGAAAAAAATGGAAATCATCTGAATTAAAGCAATTTCTCTTTTCTCACCTATTTACAGGCCTCAGAGAGCCAAGATGAGATTCTGGGTGAAAGGGAAACAGGGAGACAAGAAAACATCCAGAGAGAAGCTTACGACCCAGTCTGAGCTGCTTGAGCTGTATACAGAGCAAGAGGAACCAAACATAGAGATGACTCCTGGCCTCCAGCTTGCTGAAGGTAAATGTGGGGGGAGAGATATGTGGCAGTTTTGCCAAGCTATTTTCAGGTATTTTGAGGGGTCTGCAAAGTTGTACTCGATGTAGCCTCTTGGAGATACAGACCATAACCAAACTGAGCAGTAAGAGTTAAACAATGATGTAGTGATATGAAGTTCATTTAATTGGTGTAAAATACATCTAGAGGCTCTTATAATTAAGCAGAGATTTTACAGCTTCCATGTTGACGTTTGTAGCAGGGTTGGACAAGCTCTCCTTTATCAAGAAAAACTTCAAAATGTATAATTAAATTCTTGATAGTGAATGAATGAGGCTATATATTAGAGTGATGGAATGAGAGTGGATGCTAGTTTTCACTGCAGAATTAGAGAATTTTCCTGAGTAGGTCAGGTGAGCGCATAGGGTGCAGGGTTGAAGACAAGAAACACATTGATTACTTTAAAAAAAATTAGGCTAAATAGTCAAAACAATGTCATAATCCCAAACAAGAAACTTTGGTTTATAAATACGTGTATCGATAATTTAAGGGAAGAAAACTATAAATGTGGTATTGTTGTTTTAAAATAAATTCAAGCATCTGAAAGGAAATAAATTCAGCTCTACCTAGCTTTGGACCTGTGGCTTTAGAAAGGTCACACACATCAAATTTTATGTCTGGCTCACCACTGAGCCTTCCATTCTCACTGAGCCTAAAAGCTGCATTACTGCTCTGAGTACTTTCTCTCTCATTTTCTTATTTAATGTGCTGGGATCCCTGCAGAAAATGCTTCTGAAAAATATTTTCTTTTCTCTTTTAAGAATCTCCCACCTCCTTCTGGACTCTGTGGGAGGCAGCAGAATTAGGATACAGAGATGGCTATTTGTTCTCCCTTGTGTAGGGCTGCTGTCTTCTCCATAAGTTGCAGGAAATGCCTGTCTAATAATATTTGGCACGTTCCATTTTGAAAGTGTTGTACAACCACTAAATAACTAACATTCTCATTGCACCACTTTGAGGTAGGCAGGTGTTCTTCTCCTTGGACAGAGGAAGAAACAGGCAGAGGGGCTAAGTTGATTCCACTCTGATAAGTGATGTACAAATACGACACTTTCCTACTCTACTCCCTGTGAATATTCAGAGTAATATCTGCTAACTTTAATGACTTTTCTTTTCTTCCTTGTTACCCTATCATGACCATCAGTACAGCTTGGAGAGGGTGAGCTGGTTCTCTTCTGGTTTGCACTTCATCAGCAGAATTGTTCTCTAAGTTCCCCCATCACAGAATTGGTGGCGGTGGTGAAAGAGAGACTCCAGCTTGATTTTCAGGTCCTGGGTGGAACTTGCAGTACTGGCATCTGGGAAAATCATCGTTATTATTTGTGCACTGAGCACATTTGAGTAGAAGTTTCTGAGATTAAATATTGCAGCATTTTAAGCTTTAATAATGAAAAGTGATAAGAAATTAACAACACGATGGTGCTTCTGGGCACTCAAAAAACAATCATAATCTGCATTTCTCTTTCCTAACTTTTAATTGTAGAGTTGGGTCCACATCACCTGACACCCCCAAGGAGTCCAGAGCTGTCAGGCATCTACAGAAGGGAATTTAAAGAGAACAAGGAGCCATCTCCCAAAGTGAAGCGTAAGCGCAGCGTGAAGATCAGCAGCTTGGCACTGGAGCCTGTCCAGTGGCAGAATGACTCTCTGCAGATCATAACCAGTGCTGGTGACTTGAAAAGCATGGATGAGTTTCTCCTGAAAAAGGTACACTCGGCCATTTTCACTTCAGCATAACTACAATAGAGAACAAAAGACAGATAAAATGCTGCTGTCTTGTACATTACATAATCAGGGCCACCTCTTAAAAGAGCAGCAGTGGCAACACTTATACCACAACTGAGATGACAGTTTTAGATCAAAAGCTGCAATCTTGACTATAGCCATTCTAAATAATTTTCCAGAGTTACCCATGTTATTGTAAAAGCAGCAAAGAGTCCCGTGGCACCTTATAGACTAACAGACATATTGGAGCATGAGCTTTCGTGGGTGAATACCCACGTCTGTTAGTCTATAAGGTGCCACAGGACTCTTTGCTGCTTTTACAGATCCAGAATAACACGGCTATCCCTCTGATCCATGTTATTGTGTTATTCACAGTCAATATGGTGGGCAGAGTTTACTGAATCAATACATTTTTTTAATATTGGGAGAGAGAGAAAACACTCCTGTTTGGTCTCCAAAGAAAAACAACTGATCAGCCAATTGGCTATTTTAGTTCCGCACCATCAGAACAAAATGAAAGGTCTTCAGGAAGACATTGGACTGATTCGCTAACTGGCTGGCAAGGCAATAATGTCTAAATGCAAAAATCAAAGTGTATTCTCATAACTTATCAATATCGAACAATGTAATCTGCTTATAAGAGGGCAGTTTCTCCTTAATAAGTGGTGCTGGTGCATAAAATAGAATATTGTAATTCTTTCTATGGTTCCCAGATGAATGATCTGGATAATGAAGACAGTAAGAAGGACACACTTGTAGATGTGGTGTTTAAGAAAGCATTAAAAGAATTCCGGCAAAACATCTTCAGCTTTTACTCATCAGCTTTGGCGGTAAGTAAAGGTGCTATCATGTCAAGTACTAGTTTAGAAGAGTAGCACATAGAAAACTTTACACCATGGAAGAATGAAGGAAAGGTGCCCTAGTTTCCCACAACAAAACCAAACTACATCATCTTAAATGCACCTTAACATAGTGGAGGAAACTTAAAGGAGGGCAGAAACTTTATGGATTTAAAAAGTTCATTCAGTGAAATACATATGCTCCTCTCGCCGTAAGCTGTGTTCTGTGTCTGGGTGCCTTGATAGTGAGATGCTTGTACAATCTGCTCAATTGCTGTTGGTTCTGTAAAATTGTAAATCTGGTGTAATGACTCCCTGATATAAACCCTACCTTCAGCAGCATGTAACCCCTATCACAATAGTGCAGGTAGTATTCTAACCTACAGTGGGTCTTGTACTGCTCCAAACCTCAATCATATGCTGCTGAGAAGCAAAAGCTACATTGTAGGTTAGAATGTGCGCAATTAAATGGGAGGTAGTAAACTGTTACAGCTACCAAAGTGCTGGAAACATTTATGTTAAAATTCCAGTGATAGAACTTCTACAAACTTGGAAGTCTTTGCCCTTTGAGTGTCTGTATAGATCTGCATTGTACATTACAAGATAAGGCTTGTTACTTCCCAAAACTAACAAAAATTCTCTAGCACTTTCATGCGATTCAGCACTTCATGTAGCTGGCAGCCTCCTCAGTTGATCTCTTTTGCTGTTCAATCCACCAGCAAGCCACTGTACTGTACAGTGTGTTCTATGAAATAACAATGGACAAACTAGTTTTTTCATCACACTCTTGTGCTTACCCACATTAAAGGCCTAAGAGTGCCAGTCAGGGCTGGAACAACTCTCTGAAGATATGGAAATCTGTCCTATAAAAGTCCTTTTTCTGATCCTTTTGTTTCTTTTTATAAGATGGATGACGGGAAGAGCATCCGGTATAAAGACCTGTATGCCCTGTTCGAGCAGATTCTGGAGAAAACCATGAGGCAAGAGCAGAGGGATTGGAGTGAATCGCCCGTCAAAGTTTGGGTCAACACCTTTAAAGTATTCCTTGATGAGTATATGACAGAATACAAACCTCTGGATTACACTGCTGCAAAGGTATGCAGGGAACCAGTCTGCCTCCTTCTCTTTGCTTATTGAAATGGTGCTGTTCCGCTTCACACGCCGTATCTCTGGGATGATGCTGTAGACTGTCAAAGTGGGCAGCCACATTGCTGCGAAGCCTTGGGGATGAGGCAGGCTGTAGGCCTCCAGTAAAAATAAGTGTAATGCTTTGCACCTCCGGTTGTTCAGCTGGCAACCTCTGAAAAATGGGACAATTATTCTGCTCATCTGGAAGTGGGGGGGTAGTAGAGGGTCATGTGCACTTTCTGGTGGATTTGAGATTATTTTCATCATCTAAGGGTGAGAAAAGGCAGAGGAACATAGTATAGAGTTTACCAGACCTCACCAAGAGCCTTCCAGTGCCTCCCACTTCTGGGAGCAATCATGCCTTAAAAATAAAGGTGTTCCTTCATTCTGCCTTTCTGCCCCTCCCCCAGTGACCAACTGCCCAACTCCCTCTCAGCTTCGGCTGCCACTGAAAAGCCTCTGCAGGGAATGGTATGGGGAGGTGAGGGTCTCCAGGTTGCAGATCAGTGCGGCAACCAGCTGATGGTCACAGAGCAACCAGAATCTACCACAGTGCACACCCTGCTCTCACATCCACGCTGTCATTCACACACACAGGTTCCTCGCTCCCTGCTCTTTCCACCCTGCAATTAAAACCACTAGTGGCTCTTAGGCCAGGCTGGTGGGGGTCACCAGTTGTTATTCTGGAAAGAAGAACCAACCCCTCTCCTCTGGCTCCCTGCTGCAGCTCATCTACAGTCCTCAGGACAAGTTTCTTGTGGGCCACAGTCCTTGGACAGGATGTGAGCTCTGTAGGGCAGTTTTTCAAATCCCAGAGCTCTCAGCTGAAGCAGGGCAGTTATGCAGTTAGGGTTGAATTTTCAAAATCACCCAACTGACTTTTGAAAATGGGATTTTTGCTTCTAAGTCACTGATATGCTTTTGAAATATTTCCCATAATGCCTGTGTCTGCAAGTCACAGTGTGCATTGGCAGAACTGTGTGAGTGGCCGAGGACGTGGAATGTCCAGGCTTGCTGTAGGTCTGGATTGAAGTGACCCGGCAGAGCTGTGGAGGGAAGATAAATTTGAGAGAATTCAGCAGACTTTAACTTGAACTATTACTCTCTGATTTAATTATTATCTTTAAATCTCTTTTAAATTCACCTTAGGTGCCAAAAACAGAGAGAAAAAAGAGAAGAAAAAAAGAAGCAGATGTGGTAAGCTGAAATCTCCGTGCTTTAGTGTTAAACAATTAAAGTCTGTGTGGTCAGAAAGGAATCATGCTGATAGCAATCTCTGTGCCTACATTTGAGCATTGTAACTTACTAAGAACAAATCTCACTGGAAGAGAGATTTAACAATGTGCTAGGAAAGCTAATGAGATGAACTAGTTTTGCTTTTATCTGTCTCTCTCTTTTTTTGGCTTTGCTTTTATTGCTAATTCCAATTTCATTGGCTGGTAGAAGGAACAATATAATTAATAATTAATGCTGCGATTTAGTCATGGAAGTCCATAACTTCCAAAGACCTCCGTGACTTCAGCCAGCACCAGCTGGGAGCTGCAGGGTCTTCTGCTGCCTGCGGAGCCTGGAAGCTGCTCCAGGATGTCAGGTGGACCCCTCGCAGCTCCCCGCCACCACAGGCAGCAGGGGGGACCCCCACAGTTCGCAGCTGCCAGCGGAGGGGGACCCTGGAGCTCCGAGTCCTCAGAGGTGGTGGGGGCCCCTGGAGCTCCCAGCCCGCACGCAGCTAACCAGGCTCCCCATTTTGTCAAGGATATTTTTAGTAAAAGTCAGGGACAGATCATTGGCGTCTGTGAATTTTTCATTATTGCCCATGACCTGTCCATGATTTTTACTAAAAATATGCGTGACAAAATCTTAGCCTTATAACAAATAATGGAATGTATCAGTTTGTAATATGCAGCAGAGGGTAGTATTTGCCTAGATGTCCATAGTGTAAAATTCAGAAAGTTGCATTCCATTCTTCTAACATCAGGTCAAAGGAATATGATTTTTTTTGCATTTAGAATGGAGTCATCTGCTTTAAAGATGCTCTGCCATCTGCTGGAGAAGGAACAGAACTGCAGTTTAGTAACTAAAAGACCCCAATTTACAGAAGTGGGTAAATATATGAGATATCTGTATCCCAGCTGCAGATGTTCAGATTGGCAGTCAGTTGTTTAGGAACTTGAATGCTGATTTCAGAGTCCAAATACAGTTTTCTGATCTCCATTCAGGTTGCTAATGTTTGAAGATTGGACTCATCAAAGTAAAAAGAGCAAGGAACAAGGAGATATTTCCATATTGGTGCTCTGGTAACACACTTAAATCATTAGAGTTTCATTCTCACAACTTGACATGTCACCAGAACTCAAGGGAAATATTTCCTTGTGCATTCTATCTCTGCAGCTCAATATACACCAATTTGTGTATTGGTTTGATTTTATGCAGGCACAGACCTAGGCTGCTAGTTGTGAAAGATCTACAAGTAAATTGCTTCAGAAAAGAAAATGCAAATAATACACCGACTCAGACAAAAACACACGTCTCTCTTGGGAGATTCTGTGGTGAAGAAGGTCTGTCCTGTGTTCATTCCTGACAAAGAAGCTGTGGCTGTCCAAAGGCTCCAAGTACTGACAGTTAATTCACCCATTCTGCAGCAGGCTGTGCATCCAGCTCCCTGTCACTTGAGCCACTGAATTTTCAATCTTGTGTTTTGTCCTAGGTGGAAGAGCATAATGGTCACATCTTTAAGGCAACCCAGTACAGCATCCCCACATACTGCGAGTACTGCTCCTCCTTGATCTGGATAATGGACAGGGCTTCTGTTTGTAAATGTAAGCATGGACCGTTCAGCTCATCTTGTGTTCGTTTCCTGATGATACCTATTGTGCTCCTAAGAATCCCCTGTATATTTCCCTCTTCCTTCCCATGACATCCTGAAGCCATGAAAACAGAGGACCCATCTAGGGTGCTCCCAAAATCAGCCAGTAAGGTCACTGTACAGCACAGTGCAGAAGGGAGACACCAGCTGTGGGAATTGTGGGGCGGCATCTCACACAAAACTGCAAATCCACTGCTGGCTCTTGAAGCTAGTCATGTAGCGATTAATTCAGTCTTTATAAAGACAATGAAAGGAGTAAGAAAAATATTATCAGGGAAAAATACTGAGCTACAATGACATAGTCTCGGCACGTGGGATACGTGGTCCTTTTCAGTCTGTAGAATTTCTGATGCCCTGATGTGCCTGACACCAATTAATACAGTTTAGAGTATTGAAATTGGAGTTAATTGGACCTTTGTGGGCATGAGAAAAAGTTCAGAGAACTGGGGGTTTTGTCCATTATTTTAATTTTTCTGATGGCTCTGAAAATCGAGAGTGGCTTTTTGATGGGAGAGGAAGGGCTGAATTACCGTTTTCGTGGTATTTTAGTACAAAATTGGATACAGGGAGAACTGAAATCAGATGATATTTCCAACCCAGTCAAGCAGATCAAAATCTAATAGTTCAGAGTAGCTTCAGAGAACCATCTAAACTTGTGGAATATCTTCTGAACCAATCCTCCAAACCTGGGAATTGTGCCAAAAAATGTTAACTGTCATACCTTTTAAAAATAAAGGCTTTGATTTTTATTTATTAGGGCTGTGAATGCAGATAAGGTATTTCTGGGCCCAAGTGGTATATTGAGTGCAGAAGTGGCCATTTGTGAATGCATAGTATGTGTATTACTGGCATCTAACTGTAAAAATCGGGTCCAAAATATCAAGCAGAAGGCTGTAAAATGTGCACAACACCAACTCTTTGCACAAACGTTAGCTAATTAACTTGTCTTGTGTCTTTACTAACTGACATTTTGAGTCCACCCAGTCCAGTAAGGATTTGATCACTGCTTGTCCTGTATCTTTGGGAGCCTTTGTCAGGGCCGGCTCCAGAGTTTTGGCCGCCCCAAGCAGCCAAACCAAAAAAAAAGCAGGAGTGAGGGACCGTCCACCGAATTGCCGCCGAACAGCTGGACGTGCCGCCTCTCTCTGCAGTGGCCACCCCAAGCAGCTGCTTGGTAAGCTGGTGCCTGGAGCCGGCCCTGGCCTTTGTGCTGTGCAGCAGTGGCTCAGTTCCCTGACACAAGTAGCCTGCCCACAAACAGAAGGTCTCACCTTGGCTCTCACAGCCTAATTCCACTTTGCAGGGTGACACCAACAAACATACCTTCAGTCCAAAATATGTCCTTCCCAAATTCTTAATTACCAGCTACTTGGACTATTCCCCTCTGGTTCATCACTCCCAAAGGTGTGAAATCAGCCCCCCAGTTAACAGCTCTGTTTGGTGTACACACTCCACGCAGTTTGCACATCAGAGACTTACTTGGAATAAAAATAAAAAAGTATATGAAATAGAAAACCCCCAGATTCAAAGATGAAATAGTAATGGGAAAGCAAACATATACAAGTTACATGGAAAATAAATGGAAAGACGCAACGTTGGGCTGCACATTTTCATATTAGATAAAATCCCTTTTCAAATAAGAGGTACCTATTGCTTTAAAACAGTTTCCCAGCTTATAGGAAGGATCCAGTGTTTGTAGACAACCTCCTGCCTTGAGACAACTGTCCTCCAAGTTCTAGATGATCTTCAATTCAAACCCCTTCCATTTGAAAAGGACTTGCAGTTTGTTTTTTTTAGTCTCTATAGATATTCAAATTAGGGAAAACTCCCTCCTTTCTGTAGAATGGGGTTTTCCTTTCAGTTTCAAGTTGTTCCCATTTGCTTTGATGGTTCCCCATTGTTTTTTCCTGGGCTGGACAATGTCTAGGTCAGGGGGTGGGCAAACCTTTTGGCCCGAAGACCACATCTGAGTGGGGAAATTGCATGCAGGGCCATGAATGTAAGGCTGGGGCAGAGGGTTGGGGTGCGGGAGAGAGTGTGGGTGTAGGAGGGGGTACGGTGTGCAGGAAGGGGCTCAAGGCAGGGGGTTGGGATGCAGGAGGGATGCGAGGTGCAGGAGGGGGCTCAGGGCAGGGGGTTGTGGTGCAGGAGGGATGCGGGGTGCAGCAGGGGTTTGAGGTGCAGGAGGGGTGCGGCAGGGGGTTGGGGTGCAGGCTCCAGCCTGATGCCCCTTACCTGGAGCAGCTCCAGGGTGGCAGCGGCACGCACCGGGGCCAGGGCAGGCTGCTCTTGCCTGTTGGTACCTCCCCTGAAGCTACCATTGACCGCGGTTCCCCGTTCCCGGCCAATGGGAGCTGTGGTGGGCGGTGCCTGCAGGCGAGGGCAGCGCACAGAGCTCTCTGTCCCACTCCCTCAGGGGCCGCAGGGACGTGGTGCCGGCCGCTTCCGGGAGCAGCGCAGGGCCCGCAGCGCCACGGGGGTGGCAATCCCACAGGCCGGATGCAGCCCGTGGTGCGTATTTTGCCCACCCCTGGTCTAGGTGCTTGAAGCCAGTCTCATGGGTCTGGGGAAGTAGCTCCTCTCTGCCTGATTGCTTCACTGCCCTGTTGTGAGGTGATGCTGAAGTATAGTTACAATTTTGTATATACACCCTCCTTCATAGCCATAACCTGTACACATATCTCAGAATGACTATTCAGTGCATTACAAGCTTTCATAAAAGATCTTACGTGATGCACTCTTACAGTAGAATAACGGAATGCAATCACTTGGTTTAACTGATTCTTTTTGCTGGGTTCAACCTTCTTTTGTCCCATTGGGGTGTCTAGAGTCTGATTATCACACGAACATGCCAGGAGATACTGTAAAGTGCTAAGTATAATTTTTTCTCATTGTTACAGTATGTAAGTATGCTTGTCACAAGAAGTGCTGTCTTAAAACCACAACCAAGTGCTCCAAAAAGGTAAGACTTGGTCAATCCATTCATTCATTTAAATACCTTTTCTCTTCTGTGAGCATAGCTTTAATTAGTGATTTTAAGGAGGTGTTTACAGGTACAATAGTGGAATTATACTAGCGGGGTTGCATTCCTGTGCATGTGTGCCAACTGGGTTGCATTCCTGTGCATGTGTGCCAACTGCAGAGGTGAGCTCACTCGTCAAGGAGGGTGCAGAGCTGAATGCTTTTTTGTACCGCCTGCCACTCCACTCATCTGCTCCAAGGCCTTAAATATTCTCGCCAGCAGGAGGAGCCTGCCTCATTTTACAGCATATATGGGATTTCAGAGTAGAGCAATGAGTAGATGTAATTTACAGCACATGTCACGGTGTATATAGTATCAGGTACTTAGTCAAGGCCAAGGGTATCTAGTATCACTTGTATTTCCTGACCTGTGGCGGTGGTTTTTCTTTTCCATTTTACATCTTGTTACATTTTTATAGCAATTAACTTGTGTTATCCTAGATACTCCAGCAGCCAGTGAAGTCCCCATAGTACCCACTTAATAAAACCTTGCATGTTCTCTTAGCTGTTATTTACCAGGCAGTCAGGATGTATAGACAACAGGGAATAAATTCAGCAGGTTATTAGAGATGCCAATGAACCATTAAACTATTATCTTTTCATTTTCTCCTGTGTTTATTGCACTCAGTAAGTAGCTGGTATGGCTCTTGGTAATGTATAAGGAGTATAGCATGTGCAAAGCTTAATCAGCTTCCAAGGTGTAAGTCCCAGAGGGCAACATAGTTCAACTTTTCCCTGTGTGTAACTAGAGATCCTCTTTGTTAAAGCTTGGAAGAACATTTGAATGTATTTACTTTAACATCATTTTTCAGCCATCCCCCACTCCCTACCCTGACAGTGCATGTACTGAGGCTTGGTCTACACTAAACCCCCAAATCGAACTAAGGTACGCAACTTCAGCTACGTGAATAACGTAGCTG